ATCCAACTCTAGCATGGGGAATTAATCGAGAGGGGGAATTATTCGAGGGAGGGGAATTAATCGAGAAAATACAGCCCCAAAAATTTACAAAATTGAAGACAAATTTTTTGGTCCCTTAAGTAAAATTTTCTGTTAACTATGACTTTTAACATCTATTGAATATGATAAACCTCTAGATAAATATTTACGTATCTATAGGTACCAAAAATATAGTCAAAATCAGGTTAACCCTTTCTCAATCTTTAGTTTTATACTCTACGGTAAGAATTAACATACGAGCAACAAGTCACTTTTCCGCCACAATTTTTTATACCAATAGTAAATTTTGCTTTCAGAGCGTCATCCGAATCTTTAAGGCCCACTTGAACTAGTGAAACAAGATTGTTTGAATTAACTAATAATTTTTAAATTTTATTTTTATCCCATAAATATCGACTCCGGTTATAACAGCACCTTTAAGGGGGAGAGGTTATTATATGCTTATCTACAGTATATTTTTGGGTTAAATCTCCTATTCTTTTATTTAAAAACATCCCTAAACCCTGCTTATACATATGTATATCCGGAGTCTCCGAGTAGAATAGCATACGTTGTGTGGTATTCAGGTAAGCACGTAATTCCCATTTAACAGAAGGGCATTTCGGATTGTAAAATTGTTTGCCTGGAGAAGATGTAAATTAATAACTTAATTGAAAAATACTCGTTAGAAATTGGCCATGCTCCATAAATTTTTCATGTTTAACAAAATCATGTATTTTCCATTCTATGTGGCAATTAATTAACTCTAACTGAATAATTTAAAATGAATTTAGGCTAAAGTGTCCCTTACCGACTGGAACAGAATTTTACAAATTATGATTGCCTTTTAATATTTCTTGGTCCCTCGATATAACGCTCAAATCCCTCGATATTCCTTCCTATTCTTTTGAATTATTAACTCAACATAGGTATATACAAAAAGGAATCCTTACTCCATCCTATAGTATTTTCGTGATTCATACAAATCCTTCGGACAAATAATTTTTAAAAATCTGTTCCGTGTCGGTAAAGTGCATTTAGGGAAGGGTTCCGATATGTGCGGATTTTTCCTCATTTTGTGGTTTTGTATAGGTTGATGAAGATTATTTTTAAAAATCAGATTTGCGGATTTCTGGATTCTTTTATATTTTCTGTTTTTAGAATAAAATGCCATTCTTTCTCGTTAGGCCTTACAAAATTCGCAAAATATTTCGGCTTTTTTTGGTACCGAACGCGCAAAAAATTTTGATAAAATAGAGACGGTGAAAGCATTTTCTCATGTCAAATGTAATTTTTCATTTAATTGTTCGAATTTTCATAAGATGATCATTAATAATAAAAATTGCTCAATTCAATTGTTGGAGTCAAAAGATAACGCATGAAGTGATTTTAGTTCAATTTTTCTGTTTGATAATTTTATGCGGGTTTTTGGTATAAAATCCGGATTTTCTAGCTCTAAATTGCGGCTTTTTAAAAATTTGATATCGGAACCCAGATTTTAAATAATCACTATAATTTAAAATAATTACTTTTGTTACATCTGAAAACATATTGCAAATTTGTATGATGATTTTACTTAACTTTATTTTTTTAAGAATGGAATAAAAAATATATGGATTATTAAAAAGTGAAGCGATGGTCCATTTTTATCTAAGTAAATGTACTCTTTATGTCCAAATGTTGCAAGTTCTCTCTCTCATTTACTCTTAAGCAAAGAAAATACAACATTAGGTCACACAACTTGGAAGTATAACTGCCATTTTTTCATTTTTCTAGGTCATCTGAACAAATAATTTTATCTATGTTTTGACTGTAACGTAGGTAGTTCCTTGTAATGACGAGATACCCTGAACCGTAACAAGTAGGGTTGCCGTTTTCGAGTCGGGCCGACGGTCGAGGCATTTTTTTTCGGGCTTGTTTTTATCGAGTCGGGCCGGTACGAGTCTTTTTCGGGCCTTACTTTATCGAGTCGGGCCGATACGAGTCTTTTTCGGGCCTAACTTTATCGAGTCGGGCCGGAACGAGTCACTTTCGGGCCTGACTTTATCGAGTCGGGCATCGAGACATTTTCGAGTCTTTTTTTAAAAGATTTATTTAAAAATAATTAGTGGATTTGGAGGGATATCTGTGAATTAAAAAGTATATCGATGGATCTGGAAGGTAAAGGAAGGGCTGAAGAGAATTGAACTGGATATCAGTGGATTTGAGGGATTAAGGTGATTTAAATTATCGGAGGATTGGTGTGAGATATTGCTAGATTTGGTTTTATTAAAGGAGATCAGATGATTAAGGCGATCAGGATTTAAAGTTAAAATTGCGGACTGCGGAAAATTGTGGACTCTCAAAACTGATTTAGTTTCAAAAGTTAAATGATGATGGGATCCCGCGGAATATATCCTATAAATCCCAGTAATCCAGCTTATCGATTAAAGCCAGTAAGTTCGAGATGTGAAGCAAAGTATGGAGCTAAAAATCCTTCATTCAGCGCCGCAGGCAACAATGAGATATTCGGAAGGCTAAGGACCAAATTTCTTCCTTTTTCAGCGCCGCAGGCGAAAATTTTTCGAATTTTGGAAGGCCAAGGAGCCAGATTTCTCCCATTTTTGTCCACAAATCTGGTAAAAATATTATCGAGTCTTGTTCGAGTCGGGCCGACTTTTTCCGAGACAATTTTTTTCGGGCCTGTTTTTATCGAGTCGGGCCGGTACGAGTTACTTTCGGGCCTAACTTTATCGAGTCGGGCCGTTACGAGTCTTTTTCGGGCCCAACTTTATCGAGTCGGGCCGGTACGAGACTTTTTCGGGCCAAACATCGAGGCATGACTCGATCTTTCGGTCCGAGTCGGTCCATTTTGGCAACCCTAGTAACAAGTATCTGAATCGAACTTTTATATAGTATGTATGTATTTTTAAATTAATTAATAAAATTCGGAAACAAAACGTCATTAAATAATAAAACTTTAAAAAATCTATTTGTCATGTTAAAATAAACAAAATTTTCTCACAAATATTTTTTGTATTTTTTAAAAGATAAACAACTTTTTCACACATTTAAGAAACTTCTACATAATTTTCCATTTCATAATAATACAGGGTGACAAGAAATATTTAGGACATGTTTCTTTCATAGAAAAAATTTGGACTGAAGAAAGTGTTGCTTGATTTGCTAACTGCTTCGGAAGGGACTTTGGTAATTCCAAGCCTGCCCCCCCCCCCAATTTTTGGGTTCTAACTTTTTTTCTGTAAAAAGTTGTACTTTATTGATCTTGTAGGGCCTAAATCCTAGTTCATTTATGGCCTTCATATAAATAGATTCTCAGAGCAAACAAGTTTCCATGGCGCTTACCCTCATCGAAACCCGTGTGTTGAGGTATACTCGGAATTTGACCATGTTCACGTTCTTTGGTATGATAAATGATTAAGGTATGGCACTTTTTTTTAAGCCAACAGTCCCCTTACATCTTAAAATTTTTACTTCATTAATTGCCCCCCCCCCTCAATTAATCCTTTTCTCTTTTCACATGCTATACATATTTATTAAATAATATTAAATTAAAAAATATGTATTTTCTAAGAATTTATTTGTTAATTTTAAATAAACAAAATTTTCTCACAAATATTTTTTGTATTTTTAAAGACATGATAAATAAAAATTTTTAAAATTGATAAACAACTTTTTGTACTTAATAATTAAAAAAAATATTTGGTAAAAATTATTACTTTTATTATACTTAAAATTAAAAAATTCAAAAAAATGTCCTTGGATATACTTGATATTTTATTTAAATTAGATTATTTTGTTTGTTTATTAATTGGTTTTCCTTTAAATATTCTTCTGATTGTTTTAATTATTTTTAAAACACCAAAAGAAATGAAAACACACAGTCGAATTTTGATACAAAATTGTGTTTTGGATATTTTATTGTTGAATTGTCAATTGTTTTTACAAACGGTAATTTTCAAATTTCAAAAAAATTAGCCAAATGTTCCAAATTAGACCCTTCATACACCCAGGCAATAATTTTAGAAATCTCAGAAGGCCAAGAAGCCAGAATTCATCCCTTTTTTGTTCAGACGTAAAAAGGAAAATGCTTGAATATTTCGCCAAAATTCAATCCCCCAACATCCCCCCTCTATTAAAGCTCCCCACTCTTTAATACAGACCCCCCTCCTTTCCGGGATGATTGAAAAATAAAGCCCCATGGGTCTATAATGTGAATAGAACCCGTTTTGGATTGATTATAAAAATATTTTACAAAGTTAAGATTTAACCTTGAAACACGATATATATCCTAGTTCTCTTTCCGAGAACTAGTCGACGTTGGGCCCCAAGAGTGGAAAACCCACTCTTGGGGCGCGCCGAACCACCAAATAAAAGGAAAGCTTTCTTTTTAACTTTTTATTCAACAAATATATTTGACAAAATATAAGGGAGGGAGAACCGGCCAACTTTTGGTCGGAGTTGAGATTGGGCGAATGAACTTGTTTGGCCGATTCTTGCTCGCCTTTTATGGGCATGCAAAATGGGCGGTTAATAATTAAACTTAATTATGACATTCTATACGTGGGGGGTGGGGGTACAACAGGAGAAGCGGATATGGCAAAAAAAAGTTAAAAATGGTATCACGATTTTTTTAAATTTTTTGTTTATATCTTTTCTTTCTGAATTTGTCTCTCCTCTCCAATTCTTTACCATTCTTTAAAGCCAAATCGAGTCAGCAAAATGTTACTTCAATTTATCCCATTCTTGCATTCGTATAAATCGGCAAGCGAACAATATGGCGATGAGAAAATTTTTGTCAAAACAGAAAAAATTGTATATCAACAGAGTGGCAGTCCAGAGAAATATCCCCAGATTGAGTACAAAATGCCAAAATCCACTTTTCTTCCTCTCCTGGGGGGGGGGGGGGGGGGGGCAAAAAAATAATTATAGCGCAAAGAGTGAAATTAATCCCGTCAAGCCTCTCCTTTGTAAATGTTTATTTTTTTAGTATTCGTCAAAATTTGTTTCATCAGTGTCCCACTCTTGATTATCATAGTTCCCCGTAAAATTTTCATCATAATAACATTGATCATCGTCATTTTCCCAAGTCTCATTATTTCCCTGTGGCAACCATTGGCATTCATCATAATATGGGTCATTTTCATAATATTCATCCCCATAGTAAGGGCAAGGATTTGGTTCAACTTGTTCATCATCCCAGTTTTCATTCTCATCCCCATTTATTTCCCAAACTGGATTGACTTCTGCTTGGGCTTCCTTCACCTCTATTTCATCCCATCTTTTTCTAGCATCAGCTTTAACTGTACCATTTAACTCTTCAACCCTTTTTGCTTGTGTCACTGCTTCTGCCAAAGTAGAGGGCGATTTCATAAAAATAACTTTTTCCCTTATTTCAGGCAGCAACCCTGCTTTAAATCTTTCTACACAAATTTCCTCCCTAAACCTTTTGGCCATTTTTTCATTTTCATTCTTCAACCCCGTCTTCTGCTCATCACTTAGTTTAAGGAAAGATAAGTCCATTTCAAAAGAGCCACCAGGATAAGCCGCCTCTGCTAAATCCTTCAAATCTCGTGAAAATTCATCAATTGATTCCCCCACTTCTTGCTTCATTTCAACCAATTTTAAGCGAGCGGTTTCTTTATTTGACGTCTTTTTTAGCCTTTTAACCAACCCTTCTAGTAAGGACCTCCAATTCGATTTTTCCTCCCCAGGAATCGACTCATAAATTGCAAGGGCTGCCCCACGAAGGTAAAGTGGTAATATCTGAGCACATCTTGGGGGAGTCCAATTGTGGGCTGTTGCAATGCGGTTGAAGTCTTTTAAATAGGCAGTGAAGTCCTCTGTGCCATTATAGAATCTCGGATAGGGTAAACAACTGGAACCGATTGAATTATTGTTCCCTTCTAAATTTCCCCCTTCATATTTTCCAAGTTCTAAGTTTTCATCTTTCATTTTGGTCGTTCAATGATTTCCAATACAACCCTTTTAAAAATTTTTCCCAATTTTAATTATTGCCCAAATTTTCACAACACTTTATATTTTATCTTTTTCTTTTTAGCTAAAGTTTGCCCACGTTTGGGGAACTAATAGGTGGCCCTGCAGTGCCCCTACTAGTCTGTTGCGAAGGGATTCGAGCTTGTTTTTTATGTTTCTTTTTATTTTCGGCCAAATTAATCTTTTATAGACGTGCACGTATTAATTTAAATCAAGGCTGGATGTGAAAATTAAAGAACTAAGCTGCCTTCCGGTAAGCAGCTTCCCTCAGAAAGATCCCAAATTCTCTTTATTATCGTCAATGGCCTTCCGCGAATAATTAGACTTCAGAAAATCCCCACTGCAACTTTACAACCCCTCTTCTTTCTTTGAAAGCCTCAGAATATCCCCAATCTCCTTTGGAAACTTTTCCCAAAGATTGCCCAAAAAATAATTCCCTTCTTCAGGTAATTCAATCGTCAGTCCTTTCTGCTTTCCCAAAGATTGTTGGTTTTTTAAATTCTTCTTTTTCCCCAACTTCTTTTTCCCCAAGAAGTTTCTCCAAATTTTATCAGAGATATCTTCCCCCAAATTCTTCTTTTCCCAAATTCTTCTTGTTCTTCATACCCTTTTTGCTTCTCAGATTCTTCTTTTCCCCCAAAATTCTTGATTATCAGGCTCTTGTGATTCTTCTTTTTTTCCCCGGAGAAGTTTCGCTTACCTATTTTAAATGTCGGTTTCCCCAAATTCTTCTTTATAGTGTTGCCAATTCGTCTTTAGTCTTCAGGCCCTTTGATTCTTTTTTTATTTAATGAACCCCTTTATTCTTCTTCTTAGTTTCCCCAAAAGTGAATGCCCAATTAAGTAGCTGACAGCCGCATATTTATATAAATTTTTTGCGCACAAATTTGCGGGGTGTAATACTTGTGATTTGATTGAGACCGCCAAAATTAGGCGTTTCCTCCCATTTTTGATATATTTCCGCCCAAATTTTTTCTTTCCCATTTTTTAAATTAATTAATGCCCATTTCCGCCCAAATTTTCAGTCACACTAATGTGAAAAGAAACAGGACTAGTTTAACCATTTTTTAACCGCTTCGCCAAAATTAGTATTCTTGATTGATGAGTAGAAGAAAAAAATATTTTTTTTTAAATAAAGTATTTTTGGAGAGAATTTTTGGTGGAGAAATAAAAATTTTTTAAATAAAGGTTGGGGAGTTGGAATAGATGTATTGTTGATTAACTAGGTGGTGATAGTTAGGAGAGGAGCACCATATTATATCTGCCGCCTGGGAGCACCATATTATATATCCTAGTTCTCTTTCCGAGAACTAGTCGACGTTGGGCCCCAAGAGTGGAAAACCCACTCTTGGGGCGCGCCGAACCACCAAATAAAAGGAAAGCTTTCTTTTTAACTTTTTATTCAACAAATATATTTGACAAAATATAAGGGAGGGAGAACCGGCCAACTTTTGGTCGGAGTTGAGATTGGGCGAATGAACTTGTTTGGCCGATTCTTGCTCGCCTTTTATGGGCATGCAAAATGGGCGGTTAATAATTAAACTTAATTATGACACACGAATTAATTTAAAACAAGTTTATAATTATTTAAAGTATTATATACTTGATGGGGAATGGAATACAATTGTTATTTTACATAATGGAATTTTGCTTGATTTTATGAAAGAAAATTTTGATTCATTTGTATGCTATGTTGTTTTTATATTTTGGCTATATATTTATAATTTAAATTTACATGGATTGTGTGTTCAATTTATTTATAGATATTTAGTTTTGAATAGGTAAATAGCGTCAGATGAAAATTATGGGGGCAGTGTAATTCTACTTTTAATGTTTTTATGTATTCAATTAAAAATTTCCGGTTAATTACAAACATTACAATAGAGCCCGACACAAATAGAGCCCGACTAGAAAATCAAGCAAAAAATCAGGCCTTCCTCGAATACTCCTGATCTTTTTCATATTTTAAAATAAGACAAATGAAAAAGATTTGTGATCAAGGATATACATACTTTTTACACCATACAAGAAGCTTGGAATTCTATTTAATAAATATTTTGCTTCAATAGTTGAATTGAGGCCTATTTAGGCAACCTCGACCTTGAGATAATTTAAAATTAAATGCCCTACCGTATTTCTTCTAATAGTGCGACCGGTCGGTTTTTTTCAAGCATCATCTAGGAGGTCGGTTTATTATAGAAGAGGTCGGTCTAATATAGAGGGTCGCTCTATTAGAACAAATAAACTACCGTATATGCTCTATTAATTACCCTCTCTCAAATAATTACCCCCGCTCTATTAATTACCCTCTCTCAAATAATTACCCCCGCTCTATTAATTACCCTCTCTCAAATAATTACCCCCGCTCTATTAATTACCTCTCTCAAATAATTACCCCCGCTCTATTAATTACCCTCTCTCAAATAATTACCCCCGCTCTATTAATTACCCTCTCTCAAATAATTACCCCCGCTCTATTAATTACCTCTCTCAAATAATTACCCCCGCTCTATTAATTACCTCTCTCAAATAATTACCCCCGCTCTATTAATTACCCTCTCTCAAATAATTACCCCCGCTCTATTAATTACCCTCTCTCAAATAATTACCCCCGCTCTATTAATTACCTCTCTCAAATAATTACCCCCGCTCTATTAATTACCTCTCTCAAATAATTACCCCCGCTCTATTAATTACCCTCTCTCAAATAATTACCCCCGCTCTATTAATTACCCTCTCTCAAATAATTACCCCCGCTCTATTAATTACCTCTCAAATAATTACCCCCGCTCTATTAATTACCCTCTCTCAAATAATTACCCCCGCTCTATTAATTACCCTCTCTCAAATAATTACCCCCGCTCTATTAATTACCTCTCTCAAATAATTACCCCCGCTCTATTAATTACCTCTCTCAAATAATTACCCCCGCTCTATTAATTACCCTCTCTCAAATAATTACCCCCGCTCTATTAATTACCTCTCTCAAATAATTACCCCCGCTCTATTAATTACCCTCTCTCAAATAATTACCCCCGCTCTATTAATTACCCTCTCTCAAATAATTACCTCCGCTCTATTAATTACCTCTCTCAAATAATTACCTCCGCTCTATTAATTACCTCTCTCAAATAATTACCCCCGCTCTATTAATTACCTCTCAAATAATTACCCCCGCTCTATTAATTACCCTCTCTCAAATAATTACCCCCGCTCTATTAATTACCTCTCAAATAATTACCCCCGCTCTATTAATTACCCTCTCTCAAATAATTACCCCCGCTCTATTAATTACCCTCTCTCAAATAATTACCCCCGCTCTATTAATTACCCTCTCTCAAATAATTACCCCCGCTCTATTAATTACCCTCTCTCAAATAATTACCCCCGCTCTATTAATTACCCTCTCTCAAATAATTACCCCCGCTCTATTAATTACCTCTCTCAAATAATTACCCCCGCTCTATTAATTACCCTCTCTCAAATAATTACCCCCGCTCTATTAATTACCCTCTCTCAAATAATTACCCCCGCTCTATTAATTACCCTCTCTCAAATAATTACCCCCGCTCTATTAATTACCCTCTCTCAAATAATTACCCCCGCTCTATTAATTACCCTCTCTCAAATAATTACCCCCGCTCTATTAATTACCCTCTCTCAAATAATTACCCCCGCTCTATTAATTACCCTCTCTCAAATAATTACCCCCGCTCTATTAATTACCCTCTCTCAAATAATTACCCCCGCTCTATTAATTACCCTCTCTCAAATAATTACCCCCGCTCTATTAATTACCCTCTCTCAAATAATTACCCCCGCTCTATTAATTACCCTCTCTCAAATAATTACCCCCGCTCTATTAATTACCCTCTCTCAAATAATTACCCCCGCTCTATTAATTACCCTCTCTCAAATAATTACCCCCGCTCTATTAATTACCCTCTCTCAAATAATTACCCCCGCTCTATTAATTACCCTCTCTCAAATAATTACCCCCGCTCTATTAATTACCCTCTCTCAAATAATTACCCCCGCTCTATTAATTACCCTCTCTCAAATAATTACCCCCGCTCTATTAATTACCCTCTCTCAAATAATTACCCCCGCTCTATTAATTACCCTCTCTCAAATAATTACCCCCGCTCTATTAATTACCCTCTCTCAAATAATTACCCCCGCTCTATTAATTACCTCTCTCAAATAATTACCCCCGCTCTATTAATTACCCTCTCTCAAATAATTACCCACGCTCTATTAATTACCCCCTCCAGCGAGAGATCGAAACAATAATTACCCCTCCTAAAAACAGTTATAATTAGCCTGTTTAAAAAAAGCTCAAATAATTACCCCCGCTCTATTAATTACCCCCTCTAGCGAGAGGATGAAACAATAATTACCCAGGGTAATTATTAGAACAAATAAAGTATATCCATTTAACCAATGGATATAGTCAACCTAATTATTATCAGGAATATAAAAATTACTCTCCGTCGTTATTTGTTTATGGTGTTTATTACTTTATTTGTACAATCATTTCTTATTTTGGATATTATTATTTTTCTTATGCCATATTCTAATGGAGGAATTAAATATTTTGAAAATTTCAACAAAAC